GAGAGAGAGAGAGAGAGGGAGAGAGAGAGAGAGAGAGAGAGAGAGATACTATTGACATCCAGAGAAAAAATAACTTCTTATCAGAGGTAGCAGAGAAGGCTTCTTGGAAAGGACACATCTATGTTGGACCTTGAAAAATGATAGGAATTAAGGATGAAGGTTACAGGCAGAGGGAACTACCAAGCAAAAGCATCAAGGCAGAAAATTACAAAGCAAGGAAAGAGTGAAGGGAAGATAATGCATACAGGGGCACATGGCCTTAAATGCCTGGCTCGTGAGTTTAGAATTGACTTGGTAGGCAGTGAGAAGCTATTGCAAGCATGTGCAAGAGATATTTGTCCTGCTATTTTTGCTGAATCTCAACTATTAACACACAACATGAGAAGTGCTAACAAGATGAAAAAATTGTAATCATTAAAATATTGCATTTCCTCAGAAAAGCAACTATGTTTTCAAAAGTTATTCCAACTTGTTCCTTCATAAACTTTTTGAAGTAATGAATACTATTATAAGTATTTTATAGAGTTCAATAGGGAGACATTTATGACTAAGTTTCTCCACCCACAGTAATTGATTACACCACAGTAATCTGCACATTTTTATGTGTGAGTTGTGTTTCAGTCAATTGGTGAGGCTCATTAGTCAAGGGGACAAAATTGGTTCTTGGGAGGGGTGAAAAATCCTATTATTCTTTAAATATATATGTACTACAGTTATAGATATAGTACATAAACGAATATACAGTATATCTGTGGTATTACAACTTCATGGAGTGGGGGGAGGGTGGAGACAGGAAAAAAAAATATTCAAAAAACCCCTTGGGAAAGTGATAATGAAAGAAATTTTTGAGAAATACTAGAGAGAACAGACATGGTACAAATTGTTCACATTGTCTCCATTTGAGTGGCCAGCCCATTAATGCCAGTGAAAACTCCAACCAGTCCTAGCCTGGTCCTCCTACCATTTGCTACAGCTAGAGCTTCAGCACAGTATCACCAGCTCTCACATGTACATCCAAATCACACGAAATCTCTATAACAGCTCAGGTCTCTTTCACAACTGAAATATTTACAAAAATACAAATGCTGTTGCTCAAAACCTAGAAGAAAGCACAACCACTGGAACAAATCTCCACAGTAGGATTGCTTCATCACACAAACAGTCCTTCTTAGTCTAAAACATCTTGCTCTGGGAACTTAACACGGGAGCCAAAAAAACATCAGACAGATTTGGAGTGGGGCAGCTTTTGGCTAGCAACTGCAAAGTGACCTCACCCGTGAGAAGGCCTGAATATAAACTCCAGTCTTGGTAAACGAGACACATCCTGCAGGTCAAATGCACAGGAATATGAAGAGATCCAGCTGCAGCTCACTTGGACAAGAGATCGGCACACCAGGCAATGTGATGGATTGGGCTCAAAGTCGCTCCCAAGGTAAGGTCGGAACAAGAGAGCAGCTACACAGTTCACATTGCTAGTGTGTAGCCCACCCCTGTTTTCCCAAACTCAATGAGGGTTCGGTCTGAAAAAAGATGGGGACGTAGGACTCCAGGGATTGATGAGAGCAGCTGCTGTGTTTACAGAGCTTGACTAAAAGGATGTGTTTCATCCCTCTGCATGAAAGTCATCATCCCTCACAGAGTATATGTGAAAAGAGGAGGCGTTCTAATGTCTATTACAGAAGGCTCCATGACAATCTCCAGCAACATTCAGCTTCCATATTGATGGCCTTCATCATCATCATCATTATTTATTAAACCCTAGTCCAGTCACAGTTGGACAAAGCACCTCTTTTCCTCAAAATGACCCTATGAAGTAGGTATGACTATCCTCCTCATTTGACAGATAAGACACGGAGACACAGAGAGGTTAGGTAATTTGCCTAAGGTCACACAGCTAGAAAGTCTCAGAGCTGGGAATTGCTCTCTGAATCATCAATTCTCTACTATACTTCTCCCAGAGAAAAGAAGGATTTTGAACATGGGCTTTATCTTCCAAGGGTTTGATTGGTGTAATTTAGATTGCCAGGTAGTAGAATTTATTTCTGGTAGTATTCAATGGCATCAGTGATTAGCACGATCCTATCAGGCCTGCTGAATATACTTTGTTAATCTGGCACCTGATAGGGAGGTAAGCACAAAAGATTGGAGGTACAAGAAAATGGCAGACATTGAACTTCAACTCCTATTGTCCTTCAATTTAGAATTTATCAATTCTGAATTAAAGCTATATATATTTTAGCTGGGACAACTAGGTTCAAACTGAACCCACAGACCAAAGGCAAGAATTATTACAAATAGCAGTTAGTTTTTTGGGTTTGTTGTTGTTTTTGGTGTGGTGTGTTGTTGTGTGTTTTTTGTTTGTTTTCTTGAGTTTTGAGTTTTGCTTATGTCAATATTGAAGAACAAATATCACAGATCATTTGTCACTGTCTCACAAAATGTCTTTACTTAATTGCACTTCAGCCCTTTTCCATTACCTATCCACCAAGGGATGCTATAGGAAACATCTAAAAGAAACATGATATTGCAAAGATGCTGTAAGGGTACCATTTGCTTTTTTACCTAGTGTCTTGCATGTATTTTCTGAAATTTTTTACATTATGAATTCTACCACTAATCATATTTACCTCATTCCTTTGGTCAACTAGAAATTTAGAGTCAAATCTGCAACTTAACCTTGTAGTGGGTTGAAATTTGTCCCTCAGAAAGGTATGTTCAAGTTTCAAACCCCTGGTACCTGTGAATGGAACCTTATTTGGAAATAGGGTCTTTGCAGATGTAATTAAGATAAAGTCATACTGGATGAGGATGGGCCATAGATCCAATTACTGGTGTCCTTCTAGGAAAATAGGACAGAGAGATTCAGAGGTGACACATGCGGGAAGAAAGCCATGTGAAGACAGAGGTAGAGATTAGAATGATACAGCTACAAACCAAGGAATGCGGAGATTGTTGGAAGCCACCAGAAGCCAGGAAGAGGTAAGGAAGGATTATTCCCTAAAGCATTCTTAAGGAGCCTGTGCCTGCTGATTTCAGATTCCTAGCCCCTAGCACTTTGAAAAAATAAATTCCTATTGTTTTAAGCCATTCAACTTTTGGTTATTTGTTCTGGCAACTGTTAGGAACTAATAGAAGTTTTTGTACTGATAAATGGCACTGCAATACCAAATTCCCAAAAATGTGGAAGTGACTTTGGAATTAGATAATCGGTAGTGGTTGGAAGAATTTTGAGGCATATGATAGAAAAAGTCTAGATTTCCTTCAAGAGGTTGTTGATAGAAATGTGAACATTAAAGGAGATTCTGGTGAGGGCTTAGAAAGAATTGAGAACCACAGAGAAATCTTCTATCTTAGAGAATGCATATATTATCATGAACAAAATGTTGGTAGAAATATAAATGTTAAAGGTAATACTGGTGAGGTCTCAGAGGGAATGATGAACATGTTACTAGACACTAGAGAAAAGGCAGCCCTTGTTATAAATCAGCAGGAACTTTGCTTAATTATCTTCTACTGTTGGGTGGAAAGCAAAACTTGTAAGTGATGAACCTAAATATTGAGCTAAGGAGATTTCCAACATATGGGAGGCAGAGCCTGTTTCCCTTGCTGTTTATAGTAAAATGTGAGAGGGAAGAGATAAGTGGAGGAAGAAGCTACTTAGCAAAAATGAACTAGAACTTAATGATTTTGAAAATTCTCAGCCTTCAGATAGCGAAAGAACATCAAGGGTATAGCTGGACAGCCTTCTGCTACCTAGGCTTGTGAATGTGACCCATGGATCTGGTCAACCTTCTCAGCAGAAGCCAGAAATACAGATGGACTTATCTAGAAAGAACCCTCTTTTCTGTTGGTTTGGACCCCTATAGAGTGCACAGGAGACCAACAATTTCTTGAGAATGTTATACCAGCAAGAAGAGGGACAGAATGAAATAAAGACTGTCAGACTTCCAAAATTTATTATGGCTACAAACATGTGTTATTCTTCAAGGAAAAGGAAGAATGATTCCTGTTATGGACTGAATTGTGTTCCCCCAAAATTCATATCTTAAAGTCTTAATCCCCAGTATCTCTGAAATTGACGATATTTGGAGATAGGACCTTTAAATTAGGTCAACAAATATGACTGATGTCCTTAGAAGAGCTTAGGCTACAGGCACACACAGAATAAAGACCATGTGAAAAATTCTGTTATCTAAGTTACCAGTGAGTGGTATTTTGTTATAGTAGCCCTAGCAAACTAGCCCATGGTGTAAGCAAGGAGGAGGGTCCTTCCTATAGGTGTTATGAACTAAATTGTGTGTCCCCCACCACCATCCCAAAATCCTATATGTTGAAACCTTAACCCCCAATGTTGCTGAATTTGGAGATAGAGCCTTTAAAGAGTTAATTAAGATTACATTAGGTCATAAATTGGAGCTCTAATCTAATAGGACTTGTGTTCTTATAAGAAGAGGAAGAGACACCAGGGATGCATGAGCACAGAGAAAAGGCCATGTGAGAAGACAGCCATCTGCAAGCAGAGGAAAGAAGTCTGGGGGAGAAACCAACCCAGTTAGCATCTTGATCTTGGACTTCTAGCCTCTAGAACTGTGAGAAAATAGTTTCTGTTATGTAAGCCACCCACTGTGCAGTATTTTGTTATGGTATCCCTAGAAAACTAGTGCATGGTGTAAGCAAGGAGGGTCCTACATGCCGGCTCCTGGCCAAGATAATTATCAACACTATTTTCATTGCAACTTTCCTTCATCTATACTCACTACCTCCTGGGAATTTCCACTACTCCCAGGGAGCCATGCCTCCTCTGACAAGGAGTACATGCCTTGTCTCTTACACCCTTAATAGGCAGGAATAATGATATTCTCTCATGTCACCCAGAAACTTGTGCTACGTATAACAAAAAGCCTCATTCGATGCTTGAGGATTGACTCTTGGGTTCTCTAGTCCTTCACTTGAATCAGAAGGTCTTAACTTCATGGAACCCCTGAGTGCAGGAGTTCATAGCTAGGCTTTAGGAGCTTACCCACAGCTTTCAACAAACCCTCAAAGGGACTCATAGCACTAGAAGGTTAAAAAATATGCAAGCTTTGTTGTTGACTTTATTAAACCCTTCTCCCCAATACTGATGTTATATAGGTCAGTTCACCTGCAGTGATGTGACAAGTTCTTTATTAGTCAAGGTTCTCCCATCACATTTAGACACTGGATAAGCTTCTCAATGTGAGCTCCAACTTTATTTGTTAAATGAGCATTGTTGTAGGTTTACTGTCCTCAGCTTCATGAGCTGTATTTGATAAAGGACAGCTGCAAGAAACAATAAGAGTTTGGATATTTGCCCACGAACATTCCCAAAATAAAACCATACTTAAAAGACATTGTGGATTCAAGGTCCTTTTATTGTTTTAAAATTGTTGTGCCCTTGCCAGGTGGCTCAGCTGGTTGGAGCATCGTCCCAAAAACCAAATGGTTGTGGGTTTGATTATGATCACTGCTTCTCTCACATCTATGTTTCTCTCTCTCTCTCTCTCTCTCTCTCTCTCTCTCTCTCTCCCTCTCTCTCCTCTCTCTTCTTTCTCCTTCTCTCTCTATAAATGATGAAAAACATATCCTGGGGTTAAAATTTTTAAAATTTTTATATTTTCTATTTATAAGCAATACAGTGAAAAAAAGAAATACAGTGTTGTAAGTTAATAAGACCTAGAGAAAACATTCAGTATAACAGAGTTGAAATTCTCAAGCTTTGCCATCTACAAATGAACCCCCTAGGTACGTATTTACATTTACTAGTAAGAGATCAATCCAGTTTTCTCTAACCAAATTATTTTTTATGTTAACATAAATTTCTATAAGAAATTTCATTTCAATCACTTCATAGAAACAGAAAATGCAAATTTTTGTATTAGAAAAAAAAATGTTTGTCAGTCAAATCTTTTTTTTCCATTGCCCTCTAGCTAAAACTTTCTCTATATTCTCATTGACCTAAAATAAATCACCTAAAATAAATCTCGTAAAATTATCTCAAATAAGTGGGGAATGGTATTCGAATAAGGAGTTGACATTGTGGGTCCAAGAAAAATTTCCCTTAGCTAAACTGGGCAAAATCTTGAGAAATGCTTGTCCTGCATACCCTGCAATAGTCCCGCCACACCGGTGGCCCTCAGGAGTGTTGGGGAAATGGTGTCTGTGTCTCCCGCACTTCTCAGACCCAGATGTGCACAGAGGCAGAGAAACAAAGTCAAATACAGCCTACCCCGTTGATCTTTTCTCCAAGGAGACTGTCCACACCCCAGACCTTGGCTGAGGAAAAACATCCCATTGTCTGAGGCAAAAGGACATCACGTCATTTCATCCTGTGCCTGGAAAGGCAGCTTGAAACAAGCCATCCTGATTCTAGAGGCGTGAGACGCTTCCCAGCTGCGCCATGACTTGTTTTCA